GGATCTCTCTGAGTTCGAGGCCAGCCTGGTCTAGACAGTGAGTTCCAGGATAGCCAAGGCTACACAGAGAAACCCTGACTCCAAAAGCCAAAATAAATAAATAAAAAATCAAGACATGAGCCATTCGGTAGATGCCATGTGTTCACAAGTCAGCCCCAAACAGCAGCAAGCCCAGGCTCTCTGGTACACACACACACACACACACACACACACTTAGATTGCTACGATTTGAGGTTCTCAGCGATCCACACGAATGAGTATGACCAGGGGACAGGATACTGCTACAAGGCTTGCTGCCCAAGAGGAGAAAAGAGAGCCAGGCACAAGGAGACTAATAAACTATGACTAGACTCGAAAGCTCAGGGTCCTGGAACTAGCTGGCATGGGGCAAACAGAACACCCCTGAGCACCAGCAGAAACTAAAATGATGTAAATGATGTTTGCTGGGCTCTACTCAGTATGGCAAGGGATGATCACAGCTTGACAATTACTGTGATTAAAACAGTAGCTTCGCTTATGTGTTAAAAGCCAACATCGACACCCCACCATACCCCCAGGGAGTGGGGAATGCTGCCTCCTTACTGACAGTGTCTCTGCAAAAGCCTACTGTTCTCAGGACAGAGAGTCGGAGGCACCAGAAATAAGGCGAGGCAGCCAAGAGCTGCACTGGCCATTCCTCCCTTTACAGGAACAAATATGTCTGCATGGTTAGGATAAAAGAAACAGCCTGAACGGAACTGGGAGTTGTCGTCTAAAGTTTGGTGATATTGAGAGTATTTTGCTTACATCAACATACAATGCAAAATTCTAAAATATTTTTTGTGGAGCTGGCAGCTGAGTCGGGGCCTCCTGCATGCTAGATACACCCTCTGCCGCTGAGCTCCATACAATAAATGGCAACATTACAATGTCCTACAATATACTGCGCTTCGCCAGGTAAAGCTGGTGTTCAGTAAGTAACTGGCTTACACATTGTTCTGTAGAGGGCAGTACTTCTGAGCAGAGATCATTAACTCAACAAAGGGGAGGTTCTACAACCTCAGGGAGATGCCCTTAGGTGCTGTACATACAAGACATACACAATTCAAATTCTAAACCCTTCTAAGACTGTGCCACCATTATGCAGAGTAAACATTCATTAGGTTCTTTTCTTCCTTTCTTGTTGCTTTTTGAGACAGCATCCCTCTATGTAGTCTAGGCAGTCCTCGAACCCAGAGATCCACCCACCTCTGCCTCCCAAGTGCTGGGATTAAAGTGTTCGCCACTAGCCAGGACTAGACTTTTTAAAAATCTTTTATTTATTTACTTGTTTAGTGTTTAGTTATTTATTTTTTTACGGCGGGCTACACTTTAATACAACTTAATAATGCAGCATGTCTCGTGGGAAAGCTTTATGTGTAAATTTTAATCAGCCATAATAAAAATTATGATATAAAAAGGTAAATAAGATGAAGTAAGAGCAGCCAAGGTTTTGATCTGTTCCTGGCTTATCTGTTTAGAGCACAATGGTGGCCAGGCTATATGCTCTGTATCAGCTCTATGCAGAAGACAGACACAGCTGTGTGCCACCGCAGATGTGACAGACCCAAGTTACAATGCGGCCCAAACCAGATGATGTCAAGCATTTACTTAACACTCTGTCTGCTTTTAATCTAGGGAGAGAGCTCAGAGGCGTAACTGAACTGAGAGGTCCCTCTCTGTTGGACCTGGGCACTCATATTTCCTCTGTAACCATCCTGGCAGGAGGGAAAATCTTCTTTTTCTCTCTTTTGTAGTTCGGAGGACTGGAGCCAGGGCCTTCACATGCTGGGCAAGTGTTTGACCATGAAGATCTATCCATGAAGTTTTGGGTGGGTGAGATTGGAGACAGAAGAATATCGGGTATCCTGTATAGCAAAAGCTATCCTCGAAGTCTCTTTGAACTTCTGAGCCTCTTGTCTCTAGACCCCTAAATTCCTGGATCGCAGGCATGCATCACCATACTGAGGTGTTTTTGTTTTTGTTGGGAGGGGGGCGTTCAAGATAGGGTTTCTCTCTGTAACAGCCCTGGCTGTCCCGGAACTGTCCTGTAGACCAGGCTGGCCTTGAACTCACAGAGATCCCCTTGCCTCTGCCTCCCAAGTTCTGGGATCAAAAGCATGCGCCACCCCCACCCAACTCACACTGAGTTTTTTTTTTTTTCTTTAAATTTATTTAATTTTATTTTATGTGCATTGGTGTGAAGGTGTCAGGTCTCCTGGAACTGGAGTTACAAACAGTTGTAAGCTGCCATTTGGGCACGGGGAATTGAACCTGGGTCCTCTGGGATTGCAGCCAGTACTCTTAACCACTGAGCCATCTCTCCAGCCCCACACTGAGGTTTTATGTCACAATGGAGCGCAATGCTAGGGCTTCCTACATTCTGGGCAAGCAACAGGGCTACAGCCCAGCAACAAGGATATTCTAAAGAGAGACAGGCACTGTACCTCACCCCTTAGCTATCAGACTATTGAAACAAAGGTCCAAGGCAGTGGAATTTCCCTCCAAAGTCTGATACTGGGAAAGAAAAGCCTGAGTTCATTGTGCCAGCAAGGGAGACTGAATGCCCAAAGAGACTGCACCGAGTTCTGACAGTCAGCAATGCCAACCAGGAACCAAGACAATGAGGCACTAAAGCTGGGCGGGACTTCTGAGCTGTGTACACCTCTAGGCTGCTCCTTAAAACTAAACCTCACATCAGAACTCTAAAGATGGGAGTTTGGTGGGGGATTGCTAGGCCTCCATATTTGTCCCATTTCCTGGTATGGCTATACTGAAGAAACCTCCTTGCTCCGTGTGGTGGTTTGAATAAGAATGGTCTCCATAGGTTCATATATTTAAATGCTGAGGGAGTGGCACTATTTGACAGGATTAGGAGGTGTGGACTTGGAGGAAGTGTGTCACTGGGGGTGGACTTTGAGGTTTCAAATCCCATGCATGCCAGACCTAGGCTCTCTCTGATGGCTGGCTGTGGATCAAGATGTAGGACTCTCAGCTACTTTTCCAGCACCATGTCTGCCTGCAGCTTCTCACTATAAGATAATAGACTAAACCTCTAAAACTGAAAGCAAGCCCCAATTAAATGCTTTCTTTTTATAAATAAGAGCTGCCATGGTCTTGGTGTCTCTTCAAACAACAGAACAATGACTAAGAAAGAAACTGGTCCCAGGAGTCGGGTATTACCGTGACAGGCCTCACCATGCTGTTTGCTGGAAGAATATGGGAAGGCTTTGGACTAAAAAGACAGTTGAATGCTTTAAGTGGGGCTTAACGGGCCATCCTACTAGGAGCATAAAGGATAGTGCCTGGGGGCGATTTGAACTGTGGGGGCCCATCTCAAGAGGATTCAGAGAAGAGTATTAGCAAGCACCCTAGAGACCATATTTGTGGTATTTTTGGGAAAAAATTTTTTTTACTAAAAATCTGCCTGCAGCTAAATTGAGAAGTGTGGGATTAATGCACAGGCAGGAGATTTCAAGAGGGCCAAGTATGGATTGTGTTATGTGGTTATTAGTAATCACGCTTATGCAGACCTATAATGAAAAGGAACAATCTGGACAAAGAGAAGTACAAAATGTTCAGTTTGAGGAGAAAAGGAACACCAGGAAGTGTCATGGAGCTAAGTCCAGTGCTCAAGGAGATAAAGAAGAAAAGCATGATGCTAAATGAGATAAACGGTGTGGTGACCTCAGGGCAAGACCCCAACCCAGCCAAGCTCCAAATTTATGAGAAGGAATTAAAGAAAACGTTAAGCCATGAAGGAAGTCATCAACAACAGAAGGCTGATGCACGTAAAAGTGAAAGAGGAAGCCATGTTCCAGCCCCAACAAGCGGCAGAACCTGGCAGCCTCGGCCATGTGGTTCTGGCTTTAGAACCAAGGGTACAAGAAAGGGGTTGTGGAATTTCTGTCCAAGGCTAAGGAAAGTCCTGAGACTAGGCAGTGTCAGGGGTGTCCCTGCATGGAGACCCAGAGAGGTCATTGTGTGAAGCTGTGAAGGTGAAGCCTGGATTGTATGAGAGACCCCAAGATGTTGGACATGCCAGAGTCGTGGGAGAGCCGCAGACCGGATGGGGAATCAGCTCAGGAGAGTTAAGCGTGTTGCAAGTCCACAAAGCTGAAAGGAGTTGGAAATCTGAAACATGCTTTGACGTCAGACATGGAGATGCAGAATTTGGGGTTTCCGCAGCAGGCTTTAGGTCTTGCTCTGCTCCCTTTTGGAATGGTGACGTATATTCTGTGGCACTGTGTTAGAAGTATGTGAGCTGCTTTTTGATTTTGATTTTACATGGGGTTGCAGTTAAGAGTTTGCCTTGAGTCTCAGGGACTTTTAGACAGTGCTGAGACTGTGATAGACTAAGGGGACTGTCGAAGTTGGATCGGATGCATTTTTGCATTATGATATGGCCAAAAGCCTGGGGGCAGGGCCAGGTAGCGGAATATGATGGGCTGAATGAGAATGGTCCCCACTGGCTCACTGACTGAACGCTCAGGGACCAGGGAGTGGAACTTCTTTAAAAGATTAGAAGGATTAAGAGGAAATGTGATGCTGAGGTTTCAAAGGCCCATGCCCGACCCAGTCTCTCTCTACCTGCTGCTCGGGCACTGTGCATGCCACCATGCTCCCCCACAAGGTGACCATGAGACTCTGGAGCTGTAAGCAAGCCCCCCAGTAAACGCCTTCTTTAGTAAGAATTGCCGTGGTCATGGTCATGGTGTCTCGTCACAACCGAACGATGACTAAGACTCTGTTCACTATTCCTTGTCTCTTTAATGGCATGTGGGGGACAAGGAGCTGGTGTGGCTTGTCAGGGCTGCGGCAGCCCGGGCTTTGACATTAACAACTCCAGTTCCACGAACATGGGACTTCTGATCTACTGGATCCTACTGTTTCCCACGACCTAAGGAAACGCACACAACCAGAGCGATGCACACTTGCAATCAGAGCGATGCACGCTCACAGTCAGAGCAAAGCACACTTACGTTCAAAGCGTTCTTGGCAGCTTCTGCTTCGGAGCGACTGTCGAAACTGACAAAACCTACGGGCTGTGGGAAAGAGAGAGAAACGTCAAGAAAAAGCAGCCAAAACCCAAGGGACGCCTGTTTTCTAGGTCAAGGGTAGTGTCTAACTAAGGAGCTAAGACAAAGAAATGACCACAGGCAATGGGTGGAAATCAGAAAGCCAATCCCAAAGAATCAGGGCCTGGTGGCTCAACCAGATTTCTCACGTGAATCAAAGGGATGGTGAAGGCAGTCTTCAAGGACACAGCCAAGAATTTAGAGAATCGCTTTTTTAAAAAAGAAAAAAAAAAATCAGAGGTGGTTGGAAGGTGAGTAGCAGTGACCAGGGGACAGAGGGAAATCTGGGTTGGAGAGACGCTAGGTTCCTAAATCAAATTCACTGTACCTCAGCTTCTTCGTCTTTTAAAATGCAAAGAGAAACGGAATCACCTTTTGGTTCACTGTAAGTGCAAGGAATATCATGACACAATGGTAAAAAAAAAAGTCCTATGTTCTCACTGCGCAACCAACACTACCAAACGAACCTTTCCATCACGGCCAAAGCCGGGCCTTTCAAGACAGCTCGGATTTACTCAGGCATGGCAGGACACTGCTCAAAGACCTGGGTCCCTCCCTTTAGATCTTTGCAGGCTGCCTGCAGTGTAGTTCATTTCTGACACAGCACAGGGCAGTGACTCCAGAGCGTTCAGCTTCAAAGGTAAGAAACGTTAAGGCAGCCTCTCTAAACTCTAAGAACCCCATGGCCATCAATTCCCACCTCTAGCCTGTACTTTTTATAAACGCGATTCCTCTGTGCTTTTATGGGTTCGGTGGACAGCACGATTCCTTATCATATAATATTTCTATAAACTACAAACGTTCCGTGAAGAGAACTACTCTGTCATTTTGAGTAGAGCTGGAGAGACGCTCAGTGGTTAAGAGCGCTGGCTGCTCTTCCTGAGGACCTGGGTTTTTGGTTTGATTCCCAGCACTAACACGATGGTTCACAACTGCCTGTAACTCCAGTTACAGGGGACTGACACCCTCCTCTGTCCTCTATGGGCAATGAATAAAGAGACATAGAACAATAAACTTCAAAAAGTTATGGCTACGAATCTGGATAATATAGTTTGTTTATTGAAGAAACAAATTATTTTCAGTGTAACTCTGCTGGAGGCACTATGTACCTTCTGACTCTGAAAAAAGTCCTATCTAGAAATGATGGAATTATATACCATTTTCCTATAGTAATTCCCAATCAACTTCACCTTTAATTCTGATAACACAGAGGTCAAAATCTAGTTGAAACAAAAGAATATTTATTGGGCTTCATTAGCAAAAGGTGATGATGTTCAGAAGTTCTAAATTCTTACCTGTTTAGATGTGAGCTTTATAAGAGACCCCTCATAGCCCTGAAAAATAAAGAGCAAGTTTAGAAGGAAGAAAGAGAGCATGACAATTCCATCTTCCTCGAGTAAGGGGAGTAGTCATGGAAGACTGGGACTCTCAACTATGTTGCACTTCCCAACGCCTTCAAAGTTAGCTGGGGACACACGCTACGGACAGACAGAAGATGCGCGGGGTGCGGAGCGGTGGCCACGTGGAGCTCAGGGTCGAGTCCTTGCCCAGCATACAAAAAACACAAAAGCCTTGGATGTAGCCCCCAATATTGCAAAACAATACAAAACGGATAACCATACGAAAACTACCGGGAAGGGCTGAGCAGGAGACACAGCATTGCGCTGAGCTCTGCTTGCTTCCTGAAACAGCCCATTTCCACGGTGGAGTCTGATGAGAACAGGAAGCACTCCCCTATGTTACGATTCCAGCTCATCCTCAGGCGTCGAAGGCATTCCTGTCTTTCTCTAGCTTATTTCTCTTGTGCTTATTTCTAGAAATACCAATAGCCGGTAGCACGCGCTGACAGGTGATACAGGGGGAAATACACCAACTGATATGATACACCAACTGACATGAGCCACCGCTAAAAATATCGGGGTAGAGACAGACCAGGGTCAGGGATGTGCTAGTGATGTTCCATGGTCCTGACTTCAGCACTGTGGTTTCTGGGCAGGGTGCTGGGACTGGGTCATCCTTGCCTCTTCCCAGCAGAAAACTGAGTTATCAACTAGCTACTGTGAACATTTCCATCCAAGGCCTTCAGTGCCTCAGGACTCCTCTTCCTACTCTACAAGGGGCACCTTCTCTTAGAGATCCCAGAGATTTAAAACCTTGCAGGCCTCAGATGTAAAGGACAAATGGTATTTTCTCAGGTAAGGCAGCACTCACAGGGTCACACGATGTTCAAGTCACAAGCAGGAATCAAACGGTTTCTCTCTGCAGTCACCGCTACTGATGCATTATGGGGACAGCTATCTATGCACACTCACACACACAGTGCCTTCTGGGCACATCAACTGCCCTTCGCACCTTGGCGGGTTGTAACCAGCTGTTTCCTGAACCTCTCTCCTTGCCAACCCTCGCATGTTCTGTTGCCACATCCCTACCCAGCTGAAGCCTGTCTCTCAATTGTCCTCCAATCAGGTTCGTCTTGAATCAGAAACCCCCATCTCTTAAGTGTCCCCACCAGGCTCTGGTGATCTTCCTACTGCTAACAAACCCCCCTTAACTCACAGGTCCGGAATTCGTGATGCCTTCCGGGCCATATTATAGCTCCCAAAGGCCAACCTTCCAGGCTTCCTCTTGACAGCATAGTTATTTCAATTTTTGGCCAACTTTACAGTTAAGGTGAAGTTCAGCTGTTAAAGTGTCAATCCAGCAACATTCGGTATCTCTAAAATGATTGCGTTTCCATAGGAACAACGGGAAACTCCATTCGGCAGTTCATTAAACACCAATTTCCCTTCCGTTCATACAAAGTGAGCCTGTAACATTTTGTTCTGTTGAACAGTTATGACTTTTGGTGTAAAAGAAGCACAAGGTTGTTAACCCCAAAGAATGCTTGTTCAAGTCCATACAGACCTGCCGAAAGTGCTATTCCAGCCAAGAAAGGGCACCTACCCACAGGGCTCAAACCCTATTGCTGGATTTCAACTATAATCATGTAGTAAGTTATTTATATCATTTTTTGAGGAGGGTGTGATGCTGGGAAAATCAAACCCAGGGCCTTGTACACATTAGGTGAGTGTTCTACCAGACAGACAAGCATACTTCCTCCTGATCCACTCTGGAACTCACATGCTCTGCACGTAGGGACATGCCTCTAACTGAAGGTTACTAAAGCTGACCTACAGGGAACAGAATGCTGGGGCCAGGTGCCTCTCCACAGTGAGAGAAGAGACTGCTCTGAATTCACTGTCAGAGCCAAGGGCAATGTTAGATTCCTGTCCCAGTGAGACTGTATGCCAGAACACTGATGTTCACTTTCTTTCGCTTATTAGCATCTTTAAAAGAAAAAACTGTTACAGGCCACATCCTCCAATATTTTCCCCCTCTAAAGGCGACGATGAAACACCCATAAAGTACCTTGAATGGTCTGAAGAGCAGGTAAAGCTCCCGGGGTTTGATGTCCAGAGGCAGACCACTGACAAATAGTGTCCGGACCTAGAAAATAATGTGACAGGTGAGCACGGGTGTGGAAAACCCAGAGGCCACTTCTCACTTCTCACTTCTCATTTTAAATCAGCGGATCCATGGCTCCTCTAACAAAGTTCTGTGACGCGGTGAATTGAGCACCTCCCCGCCCCCCATATAATTTCACCATTAGTTTAAAACTATGTTACGAGGACAATAAATTTTCTACACTGCTACTCTACCACAGCAGTATGACAGACTTGAAAAGAAAAAAGTGCTGGGCAGTGGTGGCGCACGCCTTTAATCCCAGCACTGGGAGGCAGAGGCAGGCGGATCTCTGTGAGTTCAAGGCCAGCCTGGACTACAGAGTGAGTTCCAGGGAAGGCGCAAAGCTACACAGAGAAACCCTGTCTCAAAAAACCAAAAAAAAAAAAAAAAAAAAAAAGGTAAAATTTTCATTTCTCTTGCTTTGGTCTCTTGTCACTGTGTCTGTCCCTTGATGGTGTTGATCACCATTATTTTAATAAGCATGAAGGGGCCGAGATTTCCTCAAGCACTCTACCCAGGAGCTCCTCTCGTTGACTGCTGTTTCTTCTGTGTTCTATGACACAACCAACTCATAGACCTTCAAGGCACCCGCTAGGTGCCAATGACAAGTCATTCAGGACGTGTGTCTAAACACACAAAGTGGGTGGGAGACACTGAGTACAAACTCTGTGTCTGGTGTCTACTACCGTACACGACACTGACAACATGCTTCTGGCTGAAAATCAGAGAAGGCAAGTTAGCATCTCAACTAGAGCCTCAAAGAATCGGTAGGATTTTTCCAGAGGGAGGAGGGTGAAATGGGGGTAGGAACGTGCAGGGCTGCCCAGTGCATTCTGGGGGCAGAGTGGGCCGGACTACACAAGGAACCCAGGGTCAAACCACAGGGCACACGTAAGGCCTCCTGGCTTGGGAATCTGACCTGGAATCCAGAGGCCAGGAGCGGCCAGTGAATGGGCACTGCCCGGCTTGAGAGGCCAGGGCGGCCACAGAATGGCACTGCCTGGCTTACAGTCCTCACTTTTCTCTCCTCAGACTGGGACAACACACGACTGCCTCCTTGTTAGACATTGTATCCAATCTTTAACCATACATGGATGACGAAGAGGGAGGATATATGTGGAGTCAGGAATGGAACTAGATTTCCAACACTTCCCGTGTTATGTACAGAATCACAAATCAGTAAGGCTTTTATATTGGTCCAGCACAGTGCACAGAGTATGATGTCAGGCTGTTTCCATGTTCACACATGTTGTTGTTACACAGCAACCTCAGAATTCTGACTGGTTTCTTTAAATTTATTTATTCTAAACTTCTATGCTATATGTCCTGAAAATGCAGGATTTGTTAGGTTACACACACACACACACACACACACACACACACACACACACACACACAGTGAAACCATCACAACTGAGACAATCCATCACCTTTAAAGGTTTCCTCATGCCTCCCACACCACCTACCCTTTTAGAAACAGGATCTCCCCACACAGACCAGGCAGGCCTTGAACTTACAATCCCCTCTTCCTCAGCATCCTGAGTACTGACCAGGATTCCAGGGGTCTGTCCCCACTCCATTCCTGACTTCACTTATTCCCTTAATCCTTCCTTCTAGCCCTGTCCCGCCATCCCTGGGCAACACACATCTGCTACCACTGATGAGTAGTATGTATTAATATGTATCCCAAAGTCAAAACGGAACCACAGAATATAAGTGCTGAGTCTGTCTCAATTCATTCACATTGACATAAAGTTAATTTCAACCATATTGATACGTCTATCCAAAGTCCATTCCTTTTTATTACCGATTAGTATTCTGTTATATGGATGTACCAATCCACAAACCTGTTGATACAAACAGTAAGATAAGGTTTGACTTAAAAACAAACTCTCCTTCCCTTCCTTGTCTTATGACTCCGAGCACTGCAAAGGTTCTCTGAGTTCTTTAAACAATGTGTGCTTCGCTGCTGTTGGACGGAGTAGTCCAAAACAGTCAATCAGGTCAAGTCTGTTGACCAAACTTCTTATGTGGTCCTCGTGTCCTCTTTCATCTTTGTCACAGAGAAAGTTCCCGAGGAAAAGGCGAAATGACTAACGAGCACACGAGGGACTCTACTGTCCACTAGGCCCACCTGCCTTCTCATAGGGAGAGACTGAATAGCATCTGGGCCGTTCTGACCAGGACAGGCTGGACTAGAGAATTAACACTATCTTCCAGTACCTACCACATCCCTAACCACATGCTGAGCATGGACTGGACTGAAGATTTCACAGGAACGACATGATTTGCAGACTGTGTTTTACAGTTACATCACCTGTCCAGCAGTACTGCGTGTTGTGACATGTATCGGTCATGCTTAAGGAGTTCACCCATGCAATTAACCAACGTTTCTACTATTGTTCTAAAGAAAGGTTTACAGTCTTGCTAGGCAATTTACCAACAGAACTCACCAGACACGTGGGGATTGTGAGCAAAGACAACTTAATTAGTTGTGGTTCATCTATAACATAATAGTATATTATATCAGCAATTAAAAAATGTGTGAAAACAGGGTGTGGAGGTGGCTCAGAGGGTAAAGGCACTTGGCAGCAAGCCTAACCACCCATGTTCTGGAAAGAACCACCTCTCCTGTGGTGTCCGCTGACTGGCAAATGCCTGTACTCACACACACAAAAGTGAATAGAAAAATGTGAAATGTGTGCAAGGAAAAGATAGACTTTGATTTCAGAATTGAGAGAGGGCAAAGATCTTTTGGGATACAGATGCCTGCGTCTATGAATCAGCTGTGGTTTACAATGGCTTTTGTGTTTTTTCTTTCTATGATAATAATATTCCAATAGCATGCATTATATGTGAAGGTGTTTGCAGGGTTGTTGTGTGTGCAGGGTTGTTGTTGCTGTTGTTGTTGTTGTTGTTGTTGTTGTTGTTGTTGTTGTTGTTGTTAGACATGGTTTCACATAGCCCACACTGGCTTCAAACTTCCTATGCAGCCAGGGATGACCCTGAATGATCCTAGTGCATCTACCTCTAAAGTGTTGGGATTACAGGCACATCCTACATGATGCCTGGATTAAACACTTCAGGTTTTTGTTGAGAATTGCCTTGATTTATTATCTAATTCGTCTTCAGAAATTAGAAGAGGTCAATATTTGTATTAATATAAATTGTCGTGTTAATGGAGGAAGCCTTAGGTAAATATCCTAGACTGAGATGTGAACGAGTTTTGTTTTAATGTTCCAGTAAGAAACTGCTCCATATGGGAGAAGAAAAGCCAACTCTTGGTTTGCCCAACTTTGCAAATCTTCTATAAACACAAAGGCTCTAAACCAACTCTTGTTCAAAATGAAGGCAGCTAAGGTTGGCATTTCCTGTCAACATAGACAAAAAATGGCATTTCCTCGAGTCGACGAGTGCTCACCCCATCTCAGAAGCACACCACGTTATCTCAGTCTCTCATATTTCCTGCCATGACTGAGCAGACGAAGGAATTGCTGAGGGGAAATAATTCTTCAATATTTACATTATACACTGCCATTCAACTAAAGGTTACTAAACTCAAGAGTATGATGGTTTACAATCCTTTTTAGTCACTCCAGATTTGGTAAATTTAATCAGTCTCACTAAAGAAGGAGGAGGACGAGGGAGGAGGAGAAGACCAAAGAAAGAAAATCCAGATAATTAACAAGGGGAAAAATAGCTTTCTAAATCCCAGTCACGCTTTTCTGTGGCAACCAGGGGAAGAGTCATAGGATTTAAGACACATCTCATCGCCGCGCTCTCTGCCTGGGTCAGCACATAGCAATGCACTGAATGTGTGGTGTCTTTCCTAAGTCTGTGGAAATCAGAAAGATTCCCTCGCCTGCAGAGAGCTTACTGTCATAAACTCAACAGTCACCTATGGCAACAGAAAGCTTAGCTTGGTCACATGGTGACCCAGCTGGAACCAAAGGGTGAGATAAACACTTAATACTCCAAATCCCTCTGGTACCCACCCACCCCCAATAACAAACAAATGCCGCCACATGAACTTATGGAGGGCAGTCCTTAGTTTCCCAGCACTGTTTATGGACACAGACGTGCTGGGCACTGGGCCTTTAACATATACATCTTCCCTTCATAAGGCAGGAAGAGGCATTTCTCAGTCAAGGACAAAGAGAAGTCCAAGAGAATGAAGCCGCTGACAGCTCCATCCCCAGGGGCTCCAATGGATCCTGTGGGCGGGACTCCTTCATTTTTGCCCCAACAGGGCTGAAAGAAGAAATGACATCATAAACCACTCTGTGGGACAAGATGAGGATCCGTGGCTTGGCCACCATCCAGCACCACTGCAGAGGCCACAGCTGGGCTTCATTCAGGTGAAAACCACCATGTAGTCTCTTCAGTAGGGCTGCTGCTTTCCCCCTGGGAAGACAGCCTCATTGGAGCGACCGACTTACTCAATAAACGTCAAAAGACATTGTGCAAATCGGGGACTGGCCTGGACCAGAAGGCTGACAACACGCTTTGAAAAGAAAAAGAACCCTTTGTAAAACAAAAAAAAAAAAAAAAAAAGCCTCACTTGAGGATGGGGAGACTCGGAGCGGTGGGGGGCAGGCTCATGGTGGTGTACATTTGTAACCAATGGTCACACTTGATGAACATTTGCCTGAGAGTCTGTGTATGTTTTGTTTATGATAGTTTTAAGGACTACATCCAAATGTTCTCAACTGTGTTAAATCACACTACAGGAAAAGGCCAGTTTTCCCTTTCTACGGACCCGTGGTAGCACCTCTCTGCTTATCTAGCCCTCTACAAACTTGAATGTTCTCTCAGTTTACCTTTTTTCTTTTCTTTTTGACAAGGTCTTACTAGGCAGCACAGGCCGGCCTCAAATTTACAACCCGCCTACCTCAGGCTCCCCAGCTGGGATCACAGGCATGATCAACACACTGGGATTCGGTGTGCCAGACTGGTGCGCACAAGTGCTCACACTTAAGTGT